CAGGCAATGTAGTCCTCATTCGCCGTCAGCCCCACGAAGTTCTTCTCATTGAGGTGGCCGGTGTAGGAGCGGCGGCAGCTGGGCGGCGCCTCCGTGCTCCACAGCTTGATCTGACTGTCGGTGCTGGCCGAGACCAGCTCGTGGCGGTTGAGGAACTTGACGTAGCTGACCGCCTTCCGGTGCTCCTTGAAGACGGTCAGCGGCGAGCGGGTGTTCCGCAGGTCGTAGTAGTAGACGCGGTGGTCCGCCGAGCCGTACGCCAGGTGGTACAGCGACGCCGGGTTGAACTTGACGCTGCAGATGTTCGCACTGCTGGTGAGCGTGGTGATGCTCGAGTCCATGTTCGCCGACCAGAGCTTCACCTTCCCGTCATCGGAGCCGCTGGCCACCAGATTAATGTCAATCCGATTAAAGTCGACACTCCAGCAGCGCTTCTCGTGCTCCTGGTAGACGGAGAGCTTCTTCCCCAGGAAGGCGTCCCAGAGGATGACGCTGCCCTCGTAGTCGCTGGTGGCCATCATCGCCTTGAAGTAGCTGTTCCAACTGAGGCAGCTAATCTTCGAGGTGCAGTCAATCTCATTGACGGGGTAGTTGATGCCCAGGGAGTCCTTCACCACCGCCGCGTAGTCGAAGATCTTGATCTTCTTGGCGACGCCGGCGATGGCGAAGAACTCCGCGTCCTTGTCGAACTCGATGCTCGAGACGATGTTGTGGACGACAAACTCCTTCGCGTAGCTCAGAGAGGCCAGCGGGCGGAGGTTGCTGAAGTGCGTGAACTTGGTGAGCGTCTCCTTGAACTCCGTCAGCCGCTGGCGGGCGTCCTTGTGGTGGAAGGCGTCCTCCTGGAAGCGGTTGAAGTAGTTCTTCTCCAGGTCGTGAAAGTAGAAGTTCATCTTCTTCCGGCGGACGTTGAGGTAGGACTCGGCGCGGTGCTCCGCCGCCTGCCGCTCCGGCTCGCTGTGCTCGCACTGCCCGAAACCGAGCGAGTTGAAGGTGGGCACAAAGTG